TGAATTAAAAGAATTTACCCCCACCACCCAAACTTTAGGTTTGGTCCAGGGTGAGAACTTGTCCATCCTCCTTAATAAGGACCAACGAGCCGCCTAATTGTCTGCAGACCAGAGAGAATTACAAGGCACACATATTTTTTTTAAATAAAATTTTCACACAACCTCAACACATAATGAAAAGAAAAAACAAATCTCTGAAAGATGCAAACCCTTTGGAAAAATTTCCATGACAGAAGGTTTAGAACATTCCCTAAGAAAGGCAATTTAAATACTGAACGACAAAAAAAGAAAATCACATCTCTATTTTACAACATTGTGAAGATTTCCTAGGGGCAGTGGGCTCCAGAGGCGATGTTTTGATGTTATCTTTAAAATAAATTCCTTCACTTTAAACGCTAGAGGTCACTCTGTGACCACATTTGTGAGCTGAGTACCCTGGGGCCGGAAGGTCAGCGCAGCTAATCTATATAAATTGCAGAACCTTGAGCCAAATTTGTAGCTAATTACAAGTTGCTTTGATGCAGCCCCTGCTCCTATTAAAAGTTTCCCTGTTTCCTGCAGGACCGAAGGGTGTTGTGACATGCATATTCCACCCTATCCTGTTCTCTTGGCTAAGCTAACCCATCTCAGGCACAGTCCCCAGACCGCGTCTCTCCCTCCCAGGTTTTGGGGTGATGGTCATCCAGATGGAGAAAAGCACCTGTCCTTGTGGTAGCAAGTGGCTGTAACTTGCTTTATGTTTCTTTACGAGACCAAGGTCGAGATGGAATAATGCGCCCCTGGAGAAGAGTGGACAGAGGCCAGCAGACCAGAAGGCATGGAAATGACAGCCCAAAACTTTCGGTTTCTCTTTGCTGTTTTTGGAGATGCACATGGCTGACCGCATGGAGCATGTGGGATAGTGCCATCTATAGCCCGTGTGGTTCAGAGTGGGGATCTGGAGCTCAAAATGACTGATGATCCATTGGAAATTAAGCCCTGGAAGATTTCAATCTCTGGTTTATACTTTTTCACTGTCACTAACATCATTTCTGGTTAGGATTCTCGAGGCGTTGGGTATTTGTCCATGCAGACATTTCGCATACAACTTTGGGCAAAAATTTGCCCTGCCTTAATAATTCCTCTCCATGGGCGTGTTGTCTGTGAGGGGGGCAGTCTCCTCATTCAGGGAGAGTTGGGGGGGAGGGTTCCCCAGCTGGGCAGATATGAAAGACCTGAATGCCAAACTTAATGAGGAGTAATGGACTGGGGGAGGCTTGTCACTACTGCAGCTGTGTGGGGCCGCGATGACTCTGCAGCAGAGGCGGGGATGCGCAGGAAACACACAGCTTTCCTGTCTGAAGGGCAGCTCAGCCCTGTCCCCTTTTACAGCCGCCTGGCTGGCAGCCCAGCTGGTGATGGGGCTTTCCCTGCTGCTCTGTTAACCCCCAGCCATGGAAGCCGCCTAGCACTGATGATAAAGGGGAGCCGGGGTGCCCTCCCGGGTCCGCTTCCTCACATCCCCGAGAGACCACGTTTTGGAAATATCTTCCATCTGGGCGAGTCGGACCCTCAGCTGACTGCACCCCGATCCCATCGCTAGGTGTCACTGGATTTGCTGAGCATTTTGCTTAGATTTAGAACACTCAGGGCGTTTGAGATCATTATTCTCTGTGAGGTGATAACAAAAATACTCCACGGTCACTCATCTGGCACCCAACCCGCCTGCTGGCCATCGATTTTTTCATCTGGTTTGGCCAGGTGCTGAGTGGAGTGGATCAATTTAACAGCCCTGATGGGACTCAAGCCTGCCCAGAATCTATATTATCAGTGGCTGCCTCTGTGATGTCCTCATCTGACCTGGTCACTCTGGCTCTTGACCTGAGGAGGGAAAGGCCGGGTTGGGAGGTCCCCAGGGGAGCATGTCAGCTTAGCCTCCCCTGGGGTGTCTGATCCTCCCTTCTTAATGCCTCTACTAATGTAATGATCCTCCCCCTGCTTGGCTTTAAATTAAAAGCCCTAATTAGTCTCCTGTTTTCTAGCAGCCTGCAAAAATACCACTTAGAGAGAAAATGTTTAGAAAGCAGGTTTTTACTTAATAAACAGTGATCAATCGAATTGATTAACCATGAACGTGTCCCTGCAGCGTGGAGGGGAGGTGCTGGTTGGTGGTAAGTGCAGTTCATGCTCCAGGCATTTAAGCGGCTGCCTGTGGCCTCTTTCCTGCCTCTTATGCAGGATGGGGCTAGGAGGTGGGGCTGGGAGCTGGATTTGGGGATTTTGAGGCTGGGGCTGGGGCTGTGACTGTGCCGGAGCCGGCCTCTGTCCCCAGCCTGTCTTTGCAACGTCTCAGATCAATTGCAGCCATTTCTGGGGCACTTGTAGGCATTTCTGTAAACCTTGCATTTTTTTTTTTAAACTAATTCGCGTGGTAATTAGATCTTCTCATGCTGGCTTTGTGGCTTTACATAAACTGCAAGTGCCAGGCAGATCAGAATGAGGGCTGTGTTCTGTGCAAGGCCATTACCAATCTGGTTCTCTCTGCTGGTGAAAACTCCAGTAGACCCTGGGAGGAGAGCTTCCTGGCAGCACCAGCAAACTAGCAGCCTCAGAAGGGCTGCCTCTGCAGAACCACGGGGTGGGGGTGAGGATGTGGGGGGATTGTATGACAGAGGAGAAAGGCATCCAGGGGATGATGCCAGCTCCTTTGGGGCAGATTTCAGAGTCTTTCAGGTTTCAGTTTGCCAAATCACCAAAAGTACAAAATAGCCACGCAGTGTATTTCCACGTGGGCAGGATCCAGCAGGCTAAGTGAGTGGTTTTGGGAGATTCTGGGAAATGCATTTTACCTCTGGGACTGTCTGTCCCCCTAGGTGAATTGGAAGCTGCCAGAGATCTGGGTGTCCTTCCTGGGCAGCCTCCTCCAGGGAGGAGACCCCTGGGCTGAGTTGTCTCTTGTGCCCTCTAGTGGCCACCTGCATGCTCTCCGTGGACTAAGCAGCGGGCCTGAGCTGAAGGTAGCAATCTGGGGGCCCCACACCTGGTGGGTTTCCTTCCTCTGAGATGGGACCAAGGTGTTGGTGTGTTTTTCCAAGCTCCCCAGGTGATTCTGAGGTGCAGCCAGCTGGGGAACTTCTCTAAGCTCAGGAAGGACAGAACCCCATGTGGTAGCTGGTAAGTCGTATGTTTAGCTTTCACATATTTATTATTTATGTGTTTATTTTACATAACATTTAGACCTGGCAGGTCTAATGTGAAAATGTTCAAATCTCTGGGAAGACTCTGCAGGTTGCCTGCTTTGTCATCCCCAAACCTCCTTTTGCAGAGACTGAAGAAACAAAACAAGACTGTGGTTTCTCAGTTTCTCTGGATGTTGTAAGTGGTCATGTGACACAGAATTAGTGTAATGTAAGGAATAGTCCACCTTTGGATGTTTCTAGGAAAACCTTTTTTTTTTTGTTTTTCTATTGAAAGAGAAGATGTGGAGGACCACCGCCTGTTTTTCTTTCTCCTTGCTGGGAATCTAGATACAATGCCTGGAACCCATGCATCTATTTTGCAACCATGAGGATAAGCTAAAAGGAGAGGCTCCAACAAGTCACTTTTTATTGGGGGGGGGTAGATAAGCCTCTCATGTGGGAGTCACTGGAAGGTTATTTGTGACTTGTGGCTAAATCCTAACAAGTGCACTTTCAATGAAATATCATGGCAATTAGCTGACTAGGAGAGATGAAAACTACATTTCTCTGCGGTGTCTGTGATTGGCCAGGCACTGGGCTTTTACGTGCATGATTTCAGGAAAGACATGTGTGGTGTTACCATCATCTTTATTTTATTTACTTTTTTATCGAAGTGACATTGGTTTATAACATATCAATTTCAGGCGTACATTTGAGAAAATTTTCCCTTTTTCAATTAGTGTGAAGGATCAATTAGTCCAGCAAGGCTGCTGGGCACAGGAAGGGGTCTGGGGAGGTGGAGAGATGGGAGTTAGAGAGAGGGAGCAACGGAGGGAGAAGAGATGGGTGTCTGCCAGTGGGACTCCAGGGAAGGGAGAGGAGAAAACTTCTGGCAAACTCTTCTCTAGGGGAACCTTGACTTTGAGGACATAAGACTAAAACCCAGGGCCTCCCCGGTCGCGCAGCAGTTGAGCGCTGGGTTGCGAAGCTGCCCACGGCCTCTGCAGTGCCGGTTCGATTCCCAGCTGCTCCCCGGCCATAGGAGGAGGGTCCTGCATGGTGCGCAGACCTCTCCTGCCGCTCGCTGCTCCCCTCAGCAGTGTACTTCGGTCCTTCTGCCTGCTCTGCTCCCGCTCTGGCTCTGGTGAATCCTCTCACCCTCCCGCACTTCTGACTGTACCCAGTGCTTGTATAAATAAATAAATAAATCTTAAAAAAAAAAGACTAAAATCCAGTGACCTGTGTTCTAAAATTTTAAGCAACATCTGCCCTCTTGTTCTGCACCAAAAGCAGAGGATCTGTGTGTTTCATGGAGAGGGAAGGAGAGCTGACATCAGATACTCCCTAGAGACTGTGCTTTTTAATACACATATATACAAATTCTTGTGTTTTCAGCAGAGTGGACCTTTATCAATTATGAGTTCAGCCATTCCCAGAATCTGCTATTTTCATATGGCAGGAAGTTAAAGACCTCTCTCTTCCCTCCAGGCTCTGCTGTGTGTGGGGCTGTGACAGGGAGGATTGAGGTGCCTGGGAGGGACCCATACTCTGTCCTCACCACATGATTTGGTGCACAGCACCCCCTCATTGAGATAGAGGTGCTGGTCCTGACTCTCAGTTTCTGTATTACTGGTTTGCACCTTTCTCAACCAGATAGATCATTGAGAGAATTGGTTTACTAGGCTCTTGCTGAGCTGTTGGCTGTGGGAGAGAATGTAAACAGACGCTAGATAGAGCTGTGACATATGATGTTGCATCCGATGCCTAATGAAGCCAGTAAAAGCAGGAAAGCAAGATTAGTCGCAGATAAATGAATGTGCTGGTATAGAATAGAGAGTTGACTGTATTTTATTTGATTTTGTTCTAGAAATAGCAGATGTTGTGTCAATTATTGCAAAATAGTTCTCACTCATCTCTTCATTGAGTTCATCTCGTTGACTGAAATGGATTAAAAAATATTTCGTTCCCATGATTATATGAGTCAGACAGTTCCATGTACAAAATAGAAAGATTAAATAGGGAATCGTTCAAATAATAACTCGTAACAAAAGATGACATTTACGAGTGCCTGCTGGATGCCTTGTGCTGTCAAGAACCATGACTCTATTTGTACGTGAGTCAAACCTCCAGGAAGAAGGGACACGAGCAACCTCTTGCTTAATACGAGGAAACAGAGGCACAGAGAAGCGAAGTGACTTCTCCAGTGTTGCTCTGAGAAGTGAAGGAGTCAGGATTTAACCCACAGCCTCTCCCCTCACCCCTGCATTTTTGCCATTAAGTTCTGGCCTGAGGGAAACCACTGATGATCTGTAGTTATTCATCAAGTATGATCTGAATATGTCTGCCAATATAGCAAATTTTTACAAATTTTGGGCCATTTGCTGACTTGCAATGTGCTTTGTCATGTGACTTGATATACCAGCACTCTACATTTTTGATAACTGTGTAGTATTCCTCCATATGGAGGTATATAGGAAGATTTTACAAATCAGCCTCCTAACTTCAGGCTTTTATGGTGTTTCCAGATATTGGTTCATTTTATATATGATGCTGGGTTGAAAATCAGTTTTATACATACATCTTGGAGTGGGTCCCTGATTATTTCCTCTAGAAAATGCTACGGAGTAAAATTTCCTGGGTGTAAAACTATAGGCAATTTTAATAACCTTGATATGTACACAGATTTATTTTGGTGATTAATTTTGACCAAGATGTTGAAATAAATGGATTGGTTTCAAATTTGTGGTTCTAAGGATAGCTCTGGCCTCAGCCTTGTGACAGGAATGTACTTGATGGGTTGGAGTCACTTTAATGAAGCCCAGAAGCACCATGATGGATTGTCTGCATTTACACTCTCTCATGTTGCCTCACATCTCCCCACACTTATCTGTTGTCCCCTCCGGATATTGAGCAGGAGGGTCATTGACTGACCATTGGCGAGGCAGGGCTCCTGTCCTTACCTGCATCCCAGCACTGGTGCAGAACTGAATGCTCTGGTGCAGAAAGGGCTGCTGATGCAATGCCCTCTCTCCTGGATCTCCTTATGTTCACATACTCAGCCTTCAAACCCCTCCCCTCCCACCACATGCCTTCTCCTAGGATGGAAATAAACATGGCAGACAAGTGTGACAGTATATCCAACCTTCAGAAACATCCCTAGAAGCAGCTCCTGCATTATTTTCTGTATTTTACAGATGAGGAAGCCAAGGTGCTGAGAAGTTTAATGACTTGTTCTGGGCCACACTTCTGGGAAACAGTAGACTTGAGATTTGAACTTGCTTTTGTTAAATTCCCAAGGTTCTACTCTTTCCTCTTCCACCTGGTGGCTTTTTGGGATGAACTTCAACAGTTCCAGGAAGGGCTAAGCTTGGGGCTCAGTACTTGCCTATACAGCTCCAGGGTCAGATGGCCCCCCTGTAGGGCATCCAGAGAGCAGGACTGGCTCTCCTGGCTGTTCAGACGGCCTCATGGATGAGGCTGAGATGAAGGTTTAGAGTTACTCCTCGGGCAGCCCTTAGCCCTGTGGCATGTGGTGGCGATCAGCACAACTGCTTCTTTTGTTGTAACTGCTGTTTTTAATGAGATGGCTTCTGCTTGCATTGTACACGTCAAATAAACAATCTGGTGCTTTTGAGCCTTGTCCAGGTGTCAGAACTTTATCTCTGGCATGGAGAGTCCAGAGGGCACTGGAGAAAGCTGGTATTCCTCAAAGATCCCCCACTCAGTGGAGAGACCCACTGGAAGTGACTCTCCTAGGCCAGGATGGGGACTCTAGGGGTGAAAAGGCCTGGACATGAGACAGGAGAAAGGAGACAGTTGAGCTTAAGGGGAATGATGTCTACCAGATATAAGTGACTATGAACAAGCTCTGAGGGAGGGTTCGTTTTGGGGAAAAAACCCTAAACAAAAAAGCAAGACAGGGCCTCCCCTGGTGGCACAGCGGTTGAGCGCTGGGCTGCGAGGCTGCCCGCAGCCTCTGCAGCCCTGGTTCGTTCCCTGGCCGCCAGCGAGGGTCCCACCAAATAAACAAACAAACAAACAAACAAAAAAAAACCAAGACAATGTTGGAAAGTTATTAGCCATGTATTACTACAGAGCAAACTAAAGGGCTGATTAGGGTCAAGTCAGGCAAAAAAAACAAACTAGAAAAGTAATTTATGGCAAGAAAAGTGCATCACGAGAGAGCAACTTTACAAAGTGGGCTCATTTTCATTTCTTTTTGCCCAATTAATGAAAAAGAATAAGAGGAGTTAAATGGGGAACAGTAATAAAAAGAATTGATTTTTCTCTTTCTCATGCCAACAGCATTTGCAAAGCTTGACATAATTTGTACTGATATTTTCCTATGAGGTGCCTCAGGATAACACATCTTAAAATAATTATGCTCTTAATAGTCCCTCACAGACGAGGCACTGGGACGCTACACAGGAATTGGAGCTGAGAACAATGGGCTCTGAGTTCTGTTGTCCCCAAAGGACCCACAGGTACCCCACTGGGGTGGAGAGGAGCAGCTGCATCTGTAGTGCGGTCCCCAGAGGCTGGCAGTGATAGAGAAGAGGTCAGAATATGCCTACCTGTGGTCCCAGAAGCCCAGGAGGTGTTCTTGGGGCTGTATTTGGTGGAGAAAGAAGCAGAAGCTGCCAAATCTGCCTGCCCAGATGTAGGCACCCTGGGGACTCTGGCCCGGGGGTCACTCGGAGGGCTGATGTCAGGAACCGCACAGCCCCAGGCCACCCCCACAGCTATTTCAGCCTGGCCCAGAGACCCTGGCAGGAGATGGTAAAAGTCTCAGGCTCTATTCTCTCCCTTTCACCTTCTGTATTGCTGAGTGCCCACTCCTCTGGGTCTGCACTATTGCCCAGGCCTGAGCCTCTCCCAAGGCCCTGCAGCCGCTTGCCTGCACCAAGGGTTGTTTGTGCTACTGCTATGTGGCTTTGCAGTGGCACTCTGGAGCCCATAATTTACAAATTAAGAAGGATTTACATGATAAATTGTCATTGCAATCATTTCAAAAGGAGCCGCTGGAGTCTTTCAGATCAAAAGACTTTTAGAAGTGCCGTCATTTTCACACTGCTGCCTTGAAAGTTTCCACTGGATCGGACCCAATAATTCAGGCTTTAAAAATTCCATGTCTACATTATGCGTTTAAACATCACAAAGCTCTGTCATAAATCACTTCGCTCCCGTGGCAACTCCTCCATGATGAGAAACCCTGCTTATATAAACCAGGATCAAACCAGGCACAGTGGCACCCCACTTTCAAGAAAGTTTATGAGATGTTTTAATTACAAGAAATAATGTTCCTCGTAGACATTTTAAACAATAAAGGTATAATGAATTTGTAAAAATCACCTATAATCCCACTGGTCAAAGGCAGCCCAAACTATTAATCCCATTCCTTTTATTTTTTAAGCAGCATACCTCTGGTTATGATAGTCCTCCTATTGAATGAACAGGATGGACTGATGTCTATATACTCGAGTGTGTTGTTAGTTTTTTTTTTTAATTTCCCTAAGAATTTTGCCAAGTTGGTGCCACTAACATATTATAGGATGGGCATGGGGTCAATGCATTTTTCTCTCTTTGATGGACCCTCCTGACTTGCTTGTAAACCATCTCAGTGACTATGAGTGGGGGTGATTTTGAGCATGGCCAAAATGCAGCTGTTCCCAGGGGTGTGCATGTCTATGCCATGGTCTGCACAGGGAGGTGGTACAGTCGTATCAAAAGGGGCCACCCCAAGTCATTGAAAGTTTCCCCAGCCCTGTTTTAGCCATCTTTTTTTTTTTTTAAATATAAGAATATATTTTTTTAAACTGGGGTACAGGCCAGAGGTGTGGGGGTGAGAGGATTCACCAGAGACAGAGTGGGGAACAGAACAGGCAAACTGACTGAAATACACTGCTGAGGGGAGCAGCGGGTGAGACAGGAGAGGTCTGCTGTGCCATGTGTGTTGCTCTCTGCCCGGGGATTGAACTCATGTTGCAGTGGCTACAGATAGCTTCATAGTGCTGTGCTTAACCCCTTGTGCCACCAGAGAGGCCCCTGCTTTAGCCATCTTCATAATATTTATCTTGTCCTGATATTGGTCATCTACCTGCTGGGTCCCCACTGCAGTGTCCACTCCATGAGTGTGGGCACATACTTGCTGTTGTACCCCCAGCATATGGCACAGAGGCCTGGCACTTAATAGATGGCCATTCTTCCAAGCTGAAGGTTGGACCACTCCATCTCCAGACATTCCCAGTGTGTGTCTACTGCTCAGCAACTTTTCATTATCTGTTCATGGTAGTTTAGATTTTATGTATTATCTGGTAGGTGACTTTTGTGGTCTGGGGAGGCTCCACAAATTTCCCATATGAATGGATGCTTCTGTGCTTTCTGCCATTTCAACTCATGAGGGGTTTCCTGAGAGCCCTGGACTTTCTGGTGGTGAGGAAACCTGTACTTTTTTTCTTTTTAATATTTTATTTTCTATAATTCTTATATCATTTTTCATTTTTGCACAATGTATGCATTTTCATTTTGGTTATATTCCCCATACAATTGCACCCCCCCCTTTATTTTGACTCTAGTCCTTCCTCTCCTCTCCCCTCCACCAGTGTGTCTCTGGTTTATAGTTACTTATTGATTTTGATTTTTCCTTTATTATAGTTAGTCTTTTTTCCTGGTCCCTTATTTAGGTTTTCTAAATTCCTGTTATGAATGAGATCATCCAGTATTTTTTTTTTCTTTGTGGCTTATTTCGCTGAACGTGATCCCTTCCAGCGCCATCCATGTTGCTGCAAATTGCATGAGTTTATCTTTTTTGATTGCTGAGTAATATTCCATGGTGTATGCACCACATCTTCTTGATCCAGTCATCTATTTTTGGGCATTTGGGTTGTTTCCAAAGCTTAGCTATTGTAAATAGTGCTGCTATAAACATAGTGCTGCTATAAACATAATAGTGCTGCAGGTGCTCTTTGGAATTAATGTTTCTGTGTGATTTGGGTAAATACCTAGGAGTGGAATTGCTGGATCCTATGGAAGCTCTATGTTTAGTAGGTCCAGAAATCTCCACACAGCTCTCCATAGTGGTTGGACCAGTTTGCACTCCCACCAGCAGGGCAGGGGAGTTCCATTTTCTCCACATCCTCGCCAACATTTGTTGTTGCTAGTTTTTTTAATATGTGCCATTCTCACTGGTGTGAGATGGTATCTCATTGTAGTTTCGATTTGCATTTCCCTGATTACAAGTGATGCTGAGCATTTTTTCATATGCCTGTTGGCCATTTGCATTTCCTCTTTGGAGAAGTTTCTTTTTAGCTCTTCTGCCCATTTTTTGACTGCATTATTTTCTTTGTTTTTGTTGAGTCTCATCAGCATTTTGTAGATTTTTGTGATCAGTCCTTTATCATTAGTGTTGTGTGTGAAAATATTCTCCCAGTTGGTGGGGTTTCTCTTTGTTTTTGTTATTGTCTCTTGCTGTGCAGAAGCTCTTTAATTTGATGTAGTCCCAGCTGTTTATCTTTGCCTTCACTATCACTGCTTTGGGTGATGTGTCTGTAAAGATGTCTTTGAGGTGCATGTCATGTAGTGTTTCACCTATATTTCCTTCTATGTATTTTATGGAAACCTGCACTTTTTAAGGGGCATGAAGAGTCCTGGGGTGGAGAGGAGGCAGCTGTGAGCCCATCTGGGCTGGTTGGTGGGCAGGGACATTATGGGGTCATCACAATACCGACTGACATCCAGGACTGCCTTGTCATCGGTGGAGGCCTAGATGGACCAGCCTGATGAGAGATGAGCCAGCAAAGCATCAGCATCTAGTGCCCCAAAAGATCAGCTGGCAAGTATGGTTGCGAGGGGAGAGGAGCACCGGGTAGGAGTCATAACGTAGGCCTTGGATGCCCCTGCACACAGTCGGGGAACACCCAGGGAAGAGATGCCAGGGAGAGAAGCAGCCGACTTGTAGTGTTGAAAGTTTTCCTGTGGAGACAGATGAGGGCCGACTAGATAGACAGGGATAGACTCATTGTGAATGGTCAACCAGTGCTGTCAGAGGTGATGGGGTCAGAACTGAGAGGTATCTCAAGTCTCTGTAGTGGGACAAGAAGTGGATGGTGACTCTGTCCTTGGACAGAGAAGGTGGGTCAGAAACAGACATGACTTGGGGAAGGACTTGAGATCGATTTTGAAGGGTCAGAGTACACAGCGCCTGGTGGACTCGGGAGATTCTGGACTGCTGGTGCCGAGGGCTGTGACAGGAGTGGTCGAGCTGGGGGCCGAGCACTGTCGGGGGATGGAGGGGGCAGAGGATCCTGGCAGACCTCAGCTTCACTGAGTAGACAAGGAGCAAGGTTTCCATGAAGGCAGCTGGGTTGGGGCAGAGAGTGGGACCATGGACGCCATTGCTATCTGTTTAAAGAATTTGTTCATTTTTGTGATGCAATCAAAGCTCAGAGTTAACCGACTCGTACAGCCCATTGTCAGAGCTTGGAGGGCACCAGCGGTCCCAGCCAGCCAGCCCAGGCACTGATTCATTGACCAAGGACTTGCCTTAGATTCCCTTCCCAGACCCATAAGAGTCACGTTTATAAGAGTGTTTTTTTCTTTTCCATGCCAGATTAATATATGATTCACATTAGAAGGAATAGAAAGACATCGCAGAAAATTTGGAAAAGAGAGAGAAGGAAAAATAATCAACCCAAATAATCTCCTCCTTTTAACCTACTCCCTCTTAATATCTTGGTGTGACTTTTGTGATCGTGTTTCTTTCTGCTTTATATTCTCAATTTTTAAGCC